ATCGAACTCATGCGGAAGTGGCTTTAGATTCTCAGTGCAGTGCTTTAACCCGCTGCGCCACCAGGGAGGGCCCTAGATGTACTTTTTATATTTTGGACAAGGAATGTATAGTGATTGTAAAGAAATTACAAGATAAAAACACAAAGAAACATCGATATCAGTCTGCCGTCTTGTTCTCCAGAAACACCCTGTGTTAAAGTCTGATCGCGCTGCAGGTAACAGGCTACAGCACTGACCGTCATGGGGTCCAGCCAGCCCTGGCTGGGCTGCTCTGGCCCCTCCTGTCCTGGGTGGGGGAGAGGTATCCTCCCTGGAATAGACGCCTCTCCAGGGGACAGAACTGCCTCCCTGCCCTCCAAGCTTCTGCCGGCTTAACCATCCCCATGCTTAGGAACACCTCATTCATCATCACAGAATTCCACATAAAACTGCTCCTGACCAAATGTACCCCAAGAGCTCCCTTTGCACCTGGACAGAAATCCACTGTGGGAGGAGACAGTGAGACAGGTCTTGGTGACCAAAGAGAACTCGCTTGCTTTTGTGGAGGACACAGAGCAAGCGCCAAGTTGGGGTCTTCCAACAACCCAGTCCAGAAAGAAGCAAGTTTGCAAAGAAAGGTCCCGCGCCTCCCCTCCCTGTACCTTTGACCCTTGCAAACCCAGCCGCAGCAGTCTGCACTTGCGCAGTCTTCTGTCCCTGCCTCTGCGGTGGCTTGCCCTTTCCTGTCACTCAACACCCCGACAAGCTCCTGCTCCCCAAAGCCTTCCTGGGGCTGACAGAGAAGAGGGAAGCAGAAGGGCATTCTTGCCTATGTCACCCAGAAGCCCAGGGCCGCCGAGCGCATGGGGCACGTTGGCTCCCCACCCTGCCTCCCGTGAGGACATCCATAGCGGGTAGAGTTTGCCATGTGTGTGCACTTCACCCGGTACTCCAGGGCAGTTGGGTGAAGAATGAGAGGCACAGCTCGGTCAGGCATGGTGGGGCCCCCTGAGCCGGGAGCCGAACGGCACTCCCCTGGCTCCAGACGGCCGTGGGAGCACTTGCTTAGGTTGTGTTCAGTGGGAAGAGGTGTTTCCTTTGCCTGCCTTGAAGCTGCAGTTCTTACGTTAACCTTTACATTATGTTGTGTGTTTCTTAATGCTATGTTTGTCTTTTTATTTCACATAATTATGTTGAGTAAAACATCCCATTCATCCATTCACTGAATTCATTCACTCATCCTTCCAGTGAGCTTGAATGGAATGCCTCCTTCATGTATTGCTATCTGTGGCAAACAAGGAGGAAAAACTTGAGCCTCCCTGTGGAGCAGGAGTTAAGTCTCAGCGCTATCAAGCTATCAGCAGCCACTGCAGCACGAGTTCGATCCCCGGCCAGGGAGGGACCCACAGGGCAGACCTCTCCTGTCTCCCCGCTGCTCCCTCAGCAGTGGATTTCAGTCCATCTGCCTGTGTTCTGCTCCCCACTCTGTCTCTGGGGAATCCTCTCACTGCCCCCCATGCACCCCTGGCCTGAACCCCAGTTCTTGTATGCATAAATAAATAAAATCTTTAATAAATAAGGAAGTCCGGGCAGGAGTCTCCACACTTCTGCTTACACCCCAACTCATATATATATATAAATAAATAAAAGTAAAACATTTTTTATTTAAAAAAGGAAGAAAAAAGGAAATTCAAGTAATGAGTTCCACATTTGCTTGAAGAGACGAAATAATGCAAAGCCCCTGCGCCGGTCCCTATCCTCATGGCATATTGCAGCCCCGCTAGAGGCGCCTGCCGTCCCCATCACCTACACCTGACGGTGACCTACTAGGTGACCCCACTTGGGCCTGCAGCGAAGTTGTGAGCTGGGCGTCATGGTGATGTCTCCCTACATCAGCCATGGTGAAATGACACTCCGGGAGCTTCATGCCCTGCCGGGATGTCGCAGCCAAGGAAGGGCCGTGTCAGGATTCACCCTAGGGCATCTCCAGTCTGCACCTCAGACCACGGTGGGTGTGGCTTTGCTGCTGAGAAGGCGGTGTCAGGTGGAGGCTCAGCCTCTGCCGGGGTGCTGGGCACCAGGCAGCTTCAGGCCAGGGCCGCAGGAGCCGCAGTGGTGCAGGGCGGGGCGGGCAGCGTGGGAACTTGAGGACCTGACGCTGGCTGTGGTCTGGGCTCAGAAAGGGCCTTCAGGTGACTGGGGAGGGAGCACCTGGAGGAGATGCATGGGGTCTGTGGCAACCCCCTCGGTGGGCCCCTGCTGAGGGAGGCCGTGGCCTGCAGGGCAGCAGATCCCGCAGGAGGGGATCAGGGCAAGAGGTATCTAGAAGGGGCAGCCCCCAGAATTGGTGCCTGTGAGAAAGGCAGGGCAGGGGGTCAACTTGGCCTGAGAGAGAGAGAGAGAGAGAGAGAGAGAGAGGTGCAAACAAACCCCTCAAAGGCCCAACCTCTCTCCCCACCTCCCACTTCCAGCCCTACTAAACCGCTCTCTTCTGGCTCCAGTAACTGGCTTCCTGGGCTTCCTGTCCCTTTCTCCCCACCATCTTCAGCTCCTTGCGCCAGGTCTTGCTTGCTAAGACACCCCATTTGCTCTTGCACTTACATATTCAATGACGCACGGCCACGAAGGCCACTAAGGAGCCCATGGACCTCACGCCAGAGCGACTGGCCGGGAGCCCTCTGTTGTGGAACTGAAGCTGCTGGAAGACCAGGGGGCCAGGGCCATGGCCCCCCCTGCGGGGCCCCTCTCAGGCTCACAGACTTTGCGCCTCGTCCCCGCCTCATGCCTGCAGACTCATTTACCTTAGCGACAGGGAGAGGCGCGCCTTGCCAAGGGTCTCGCTGAACCCGGAGGGCCCCGGTGCCCCAGTCCTGTACCGCAGAGCCCAGCACGACCAGCGTCTCCCTGGCTCCCCCCTGACGTCTCTGCGAGGGAGTGTGAAGAGGCGGCGGGAGCTGATGCCAGGCAGGTGGAGGGGTCCGTCACCTGCACAACCATGCTGCAAGCGGAGAATCTGCTTTTCGAGAGTCTGCAGCTCTGGCCAGGAGGCCGGGACCTGACTAGTCTCAGCCTCACCTGGAAAAGAGGGATGATAGCAGGACTGAGGGCGAAGAGATGTTTGAGGAGAAACGTGTAAACCACTGACACGCAGAAGCGCTCAACACCCATTGGCTGATGTGCTCTGATGAGGTTAGTTACAACCATGATTATCATGAAGCTCCCTCGGTCCCACGACAAGACAGAGTCAGCTCTCCTTGGGAAGACAGGCCTGGCGTTCTAGGTCACAACCCAGCCGGTGTGATACAATGTGCCCGCTATCCAGCTAATGAGCTCACCGGGCCATGCTAACTGCTGACACTTGCTCTTCCCTGTTTCAGGAAACACTGCCTGCAAACTCCACTCGTGGGCATCCATCATCACGCCACAGACCCAGAGGCTTCAGTGACAGAGAAACTTCTTTACTCTCAGTCCAAGAGCAAGACTTCTGTAGGGCTGGGTTCCCCTGAGGCTCCTGTCCTCGGCTGGTGGGGGCACAGCTTTCTGTCCTCACAGGGTCTCTCTGAGCTGGCCTGCCTGGGAGCCTGTGTAGTATACAGCACCTAGCACAAGAGGGCGCAATTCCTAGCTGCAGTGGCAGTAGCACTGTGATAATGATGAAAAAGAACTAGGAGGAGGAGAAGACTCTGGCCTCCATTTCTGGGGGGGGGGGAGCAGCGCCCCCCCCCCCATCAGTTCCCCATTTCTTAGGCCTTAGAAAGGGCCACACTTGGATCCAGCAGAACAGGGTTTTGTGTCTTTGCACAGCCCCTGTGCTGAGGGGTCTGTGCTCATACTTCTCTGTGCATGACACCCCTAAAAGATTTATCAAGTGGACACCCTCTTTCTTCATCTTTTGCTGCTCACCACACAGTGGCTTTCCTCTTAATTATCTGTGGTCAAAATAAGAGCAAAACAGCACATCAAAATCAAAATAACCCACCAACTAGTATGCACCGTTTACTATTTGCACTGCCAACGGTAGCTATTATCTCCTTTTAATTTACAGACCTCTGAGTAAACCCTAAAATCCTCCTCCCCAGTGAACAAGCCTCGAGGAGCTTGTCACCTTGATCCAGGTATAGTCTGCAGAGAAACAGGGGCTCCATCTGTGTATGTCAGAAGCACATTCCAAACCGGTTTTTGGGGACCAGCGCCCACTTCACACTGCCACCCCAGGTAGGAGTCAAGCATCTCAGTGTGCTCCCCTACCCCTCCCTTGGGAAGGCTGTCGCAGAAATAGGAGCTTTGGGCACGTTCAGCACATCCTTTGGCAGTGACCATTTTGGCCGTCTTTATTTTCCCTTCTGAAATAGGGGTCACATGGTGTCTGCACCTCAAGTGCAGACCTCAGGTCTACAGAGTGCTTCTGAGTGCTGGCTTTTTGGCATCTCACAACCTGCTGTGGACTAGAAACAGGGAGCGAGACAGCTGCTCGGTGAACGCCCGCCTCCAGCGTCCCTGGGGTGCCTGCAGGGCTTGTCCGCAACTTGCCATGGTCAATGGACTGCGAGCACAGAGGAGCGTGCCCTCTAGCTGGGCCTGGGCCTTCGAGGTGCCAGGTGCTCTCTGCTTCTCTGGGAACCCGAGTCCTCAAGGGAAGAGCATGTCCTGGGAAGCAGCTGCCCCCTCCCACCAGGGCCCCTGACACAGCTGGCCCCCCACCTCCTCCTGACCTGGCAGAGAGGGCAAGGGCTCAGGCTTGGACGCCACTGAAACCTTTTCCGGTGTCAGGAAATGAGCAAGGTCAGTCAACTCCCTGTGGGGATTAGCTGGTCTAGAGGTCCTGGTACCCGTGGCTGCTCTCTCCTGTTGAGGATGCTGTTTCTAGGTCTTCACAGGTAAACGTTAACTTCTAAGAAACTGAGTCACATGAATGAATTTGTGCTGTAGCACTACAGTTGATTTGTGCTCTGTTAAAAAAAAAAAAACTTATTTTGGAAGACCTTGTAAATATTAACTTGTTTTTAACCTTTTAGTAAAGTTATTCTAGCATCCCTGGGGTGGTCAGGAATGACCCATCTAGCTCTCCATTCTTCAAGGTCTCCTTTGAACTAATCACATCTAAATGGCTCATGACTCAGTGAGTTGCACAAAAATCTTTGACAGGTGCTCATTTGTGTATGCACAAGAGTTGCTTGTAGCCTTCGGACGAACTACAGCACTTGTTAGGGTGCGCTGGCTGACAGACCCTGGGGTTCTTGTCTGACCTTGGGCTTCATTTCTCTGAGCCACCTGGAGACGCTGCAGGGCCAGGATGGGCCTCGGTGCCCTTATCTGTAAAATGAAGGTTTGGGGCCGAGAGTTACTTAGTTGGAGTTCAAGGAGGCCTCGAAGGTCATGTGGGGCAGGCAGGAAGGGCTTCCTGAGCCCCTTTTACAGAGATGCTGGGGGCCGAAGCTGCAAGGCCAGATCTCCCATGCTAGTTCAGCATCTGCTAGACCAAAGCGACATCAGCCACACAGATAAAAGCCTTGGGGGGGGCTGATGCTTGCACTCCTGCTTACAGAGGGGAGCAGCATGCAGTTTCCTGTGAGAGCTGGAATCCAGGTCTCGCTAATGGCAGCCTTTTATTTTCCATCAAATCATAAAGAATCTCGGAGCCTTGATTTCCTAACATGGAAAATGGTGATAAAATGGTGTACATTAGGGCCCTCTGGTGGCGCAGTGGGTTAAAATGTAGCACTAAGAAGCTGTTGGTAGCCTCTTCAGCAAGAGTTCGATCCTCCCCCCAACCTGGAGGTGACCCACAAGGCACAACAGACGTCTCTTGACCAGCCTGCTGCTCCCCTCAGCAGTGTACTTGGTCAGTCAGCCTGTTCTTCTCCCCAATCTGTCTCTGGTGAAGCCTCTCACCGCCCCTGCACCTCTGGCCTGTACCCCATTTCTGTATACATCAATAAATAAATCTTTTAAAAAATGTACATTAATATGTAAATAAAAAGACAACAGAAGTGTACAGGGCCCAATATAGAGCAACTAAGAGTTTCTAGAATTGTCCAGGTTTGGCAAGGAATGAGGTAGAACATAACCTAAACCAGGGGGCGCCTGACCTAGGGAGAGGATGGAGAAGAGTAAGCCAACCGTAAATGGGATTGCAGTGAACTGTTCCAGAAGTGCCTAGTTTTTTCAAGCTTGTGATTTTCTCTCGCAGTCCTTGAGAAGCTTGGGAGCCCACATGTTCCTCTTTGTCTTGGACAGAAGTTGAGAGCTTGGTTTTCTTGCTCCTCTATTTGCCTGCTTCCCTGGCACACCGAGTAGGAGCTCTAGCAATGCCAGCCTCCCTGCCACACTTTCTGTGTGTAACAGGAGCACAGGTTCAAGTCCAGCTCTGCCACTTTCTTGCTGAGATCTTGGGCAGCCCATTCTCTCTCCCTGTGCCTGCCTTGGTTCTCACAGGTAAGTGGGTATTCATGATCCCTCTTAGTGTTGTTCTGAAGGTGGCAAGCAGACCCCCCACCCCCATCCCATACACACAGGTGCTAGATCCAGTTGTTCTTAGCATTAAGGGAAGAGAAGACACTCAGACAGACTGAAGGTTAAAGAGAGAACCAAAAAGCTCTGTGATGGAATCCAGAATAGAAGCTGCCTTAAAAGCAGGACTCAACCAGACAGGCATGCAAATCAAGGACTGTGCATTTGGGGCACCCCACTTCTTGCTGGAGGAGGAGAATTACATTGGGGAAAGAGCTCCTGTTTAATCAAGGAAATGGTTTTCAAACCCTAATTTCCAAAACTATTCCTAGCCAGTACTATGTATTTTATGCAGTTCTGAATGATTTATGCCAGTCTTAATAGGTGGAGATGTCCTTCAAATTTTCCATCTGCCTTGCAAGAGGTCTAATGTGATAACAAACAGGAAATCAACTGGGCTTTGGGACACGCAGTGCTGTTTTGAACCATAAAATATACAAGGCTGCTGACATTGCATATTAATTAGCTGATCTTTTCCTTTCCAAATTAAGAGCTAGGTTTTGGATTACTTGCACGGATATAAAACTTGGCTCTGGCTTTTGATGCATCAGAGATCTCATTCACTAAATATTTTTGGAGCACTTAAGAGTTTCAAGGATCTTCCATGCTTAGCAAGAACAAGGTAAGACATACCTGAAACTATGGAAAAAATCTCCCACTATCTAGGAAGTAGATGGAGAAAGATAAGAATAAAAACGATTGTAATGAATTGTTCCAGAAATAACTAACCTTTTCCAAGATTTTTATTTTATCTCGCAGTCCTTATAAATCTCGTGAATCCCATGTATGCCCTTTGCTTTGGGCAAAACACAAACAGCTCTGTTTGCCTCCCCCCCCCCATTACTGTGTCTGTTTGTAAAAACTCACTCATACATTCATTCATTCACTCATTTCGTGGAAGTTTCTCAAGCAGCTGCAGGATATTCTCCATCTAGAATCTTTTCTGATGAAATAACCAACATCTACCAAGATTCAGAAAGCTTCTTCATTGCATTTTTATTTTTTTAAGTGAAAAACTAACAGCTGCTACAATATCCAGCCTTGTGAGACTGGAGAAAAAGGGTCCTTTGAAGATTATAATGAGACTGGGAGAATCTCATCAAAGAGGTATGTGGATGACTAGGTGGATGTTTATGGCATGGTATGATAAGCATTTATAGATTTATATCCACAGATCATTTAGAATGGATGAAACCTCAGAAGAACATCATTTGAAGAAACTCATGCAGCTGAAATACAGAAAATGTCAGTGAAGACTAAGGAGCTGGAGAGATCCTAGCTGTGGCTGTAGAATTTGATCCTATTCCTTGGGAAAGGCTTGAACTAAGGACTTGGGCACTCACCCCTATTGCTACATAGTTGGGTGACCTTGAACTCAGTTAGGTTCACATTGAATGTCTCTCCACAGTTCAAGGACGTGGTTGACCAACTCTTGGGTCCAGTATTTCTGAGTTTCCATGGTGTGGACCCCAAGACTCTTCCTACAGTGCACAGAACATCTACATGAGGGGAGCCTCACGCCTAGATCCCTGGAGCCCACCCATGATTCTGACATTCAGGAGCTGAGAGACCTTCCCAAGGGCAAGCAGCTCTGATCTAAGTATCAGTTTCTTGACCTCAGCAGGAGAGGAAGACACAGGAGAGGAAGTAAACATTTGGCCTCCAGAAGAAAAATGATGACAGCAAAATAAATCAATGAATCTTGGTTTGAACATAGTCAAATGCAACTGTAGTTGATTTCAAACAAAATAGTTCTACCTTTATTTATGACTATACCAGACTATTCAAGGTGATCATTGAATTCACCATTTTGCTTTGCAAGTAAAACAAGGCTTCTGTGAAATTTTGTTCCCCGCTTTAGCCCATCCTCACTGCTAGCGCATCCTTCACAAACATAGCCCAGGCAAGTTACCAAAAGTGCAAATGCCACTGTGCCCACACACCTTAAACACCTGTGCTGAAACTGTTAACTAGGCTCCCGGTCTTATGAGGCAAAGACCAAGGTGCCCAGCCCTGGCCCCACCCACCGCCCCCAGGGACTCTTTTGCATGCCTGCGTCCCTTGACTATGCCAGGCCACTCCTCAGCCTTCCTGCCCCTGTCTATCCCTGAACAGCCCCTTCACCTCACTCCCCAGACAACAGCTACTCAACTTGCAGGCTCGGCTGAACATCACCTTCTCCAGGACGACTCTGCTGTCCTTCCACTTTTGGGGCCATTAAGCTGGACCCCATATACGGTCTGCATAACACCACATGGAGTTTAGCTCTTGCCTGTCTGGGCCCTAAGAGGGACTCAAAGCCCCCAGTACAGGAGGTACTTCATCTTGGTAGCTGTGACCAGTAGGGTATTTTCACTGCAGTCACTCCCTTCACACTAATGTATTAAGTAAGTCCTGCCTGTGCAAGGTGGCCCTGGCTGTAGGAGGCCAGCGCAGACAGCAGCTGCGTGAGAAACCCCCCTGTACAACAGTGGCAGATAATTTATCCGGATGTGTGGACGCCCAGCTGAGAAGGGGGTTTGTCAGCTCCGCTGGCTGCTACGTGGGCAGTGTAGCTAACAGGAGGGAGCAGGAGCGATGTGTTCATCTTCCAGCAGTGATCTGGGAGACGAGGGAGCCCTGGCTTTTCTCCCCATTGTCCTGCGCTCACAGGCGGAGGATGCTGGAGCATCTCGGGGCTGACGCGTAGAGGACAGACCATGAGTTAACAGCAGTCGATTTCCCGTCACCGGTAGGTCTTTACACCATCCCTGAACAGACTCTAGATTTGCCTGAGCAAGAGAAATCCACGGGTGGCTTGTTCAGACCAATATATGTAGTTTGTCCGGGCATTTATAACAAGATGCCCTAGAGTGGGTGATTCCAAAACAGCAGAAATTTATCTTTGCCTGCCACGGAGGCTGGGATCTGGGACTCCCACATCAGAGATCAGGCCAGAGGGTTCCCAGCTGTGACACCTCAGGGTGTCCCCAGGTGGGATGGGGTTGCTTTTAAGAGGGTCCTTAGCTCATTCATGAGGCCTCCACCCCCGTGAACTAACCACTTCCCACAGGCCCCACCCCCAAACCATCCCAGGGGGAGTAGTTTCAACCTATGGATTTGGAGGGACACAAATAGGCAGGGCCTCCCTGCACCCCAGACCTGGCTCAAACATATTCACCGATGGAGCTCTCGTCACACAGACCAAGCTCCCAACTTAGGAGATGAGTGAGCGAGTAGGGGCAGGTTGAACCAGCACCACCCAGGGAGAGCAGGTGAAAGGCCGTCACTTATAAATTTGTGGCAACAGGCACGAAGTACCCCGGGCCCCAAGACTCACATCGCTGGCGCTAGGGCTACACATGGTGCTTCCCCATTCCACCGCCTCTCCCCCCACACCCCAACGCGACATCCCCCCAAGTCTCTCTGCCCTCTGTCCCCCCCACACCCCCATGCAACACCCCTCAGTGTCTCCTGCCCTCTGTCCCCCCATACCCTCATGTGACTCCCCTCCAGTCTCTCCTGCCCTCTGTCCCCCACACCCCCACACGACATCCCCAGTGTCTCCTGTCCCCCCATACCCTCATGTGACACCTCTCCAGTCTCTCCTGCCCTCTGTCCCCCACACCTCCACGCAACACCCCTCAGTGTCTCCTGCCCTCTGTCCCCCCATACCCTCATGTGACTCCCCTCCAGTCTCTCCTGCCCTCTG